GTGTTGTGAATTGGCGCTATAGAAATTAACTGAAATGAATTTAATAGGTTGGTTAAACACCAAACCCTGCTGGGATCCCTTTCAGTTGATACACTCAGAACAACACATGATTATTAGGGGCGTACCATCGAGGCCTCGCCCTCTCTGGCTAGTTTCTTCCTGCAGCAAAGCATAATTTCCATAATCTATCTGCATCTGTTGCTAGATTGAGGTTAGCAGTGCTCTGTGCCTGACTTCAGCTTTAGCTTATAGATTTTTAAATGTAATCAGTTCAGCTCTACTCTTTTTTTCAAAGCAACTGAATATTTAAATGTATCCTCCTTGATAAACTATGCTATTGGTGTTAAACAGTGGTTCTGTTACAGCTACTTGCAGGTGATCTCTGATATGATGGAAACACTAATTATTGCTCTGAGAACCAGAAAAAAAAAAAAAATAATTAAACATTTTCTAGGCGCCTTGGCCTCCTCTATCAAACCAAGCTTCGGAAACCTTGGCATGGTTTTGATTCTGTTATGTCAGTACAGTCTTATTCTCACAGAGTAATATAAAAAGAAACTGCATCTTTCGGCTCACAAATAAGTTTCAAACCGTTATTTACTCTTGCCTTGACTATTCTAACAGCCTTTTTACATTTTTTTTTACAAGATTTTGGCCATCTCCAGCTGGTGCAGAGTGCTGCAACGAAATACAAGAAAAATAGCATATTACAGCAGTTTAAATCTCTCTACATTGGTTACCAATAATTACAGATTTCAGTTCACTTTTAGAGCCCAGAGTGGCCAAACTACAGCTTATATTGCCAATGTTTTCCACTTGTAGTATTGTGAGATCGTCCAGCCAAAGCCTGTTAATGGTTTGCTCCATCTTGATTCTGTTCAATCCCTAAAGAAGCATTTGAAGACCCTTGATCTGATGTTTTTTTTTTTTTTTTTTTACCAGTTTTATGTTTACATTTATGCTGTGCTTTAATTTTAGTTTTTGCTATATTTTCATACTGTGTTGTATCAGTTATTTTAATGTGAAGCACTTTCTGGTTCTTATTCTGTGAAACACCAAAGTAAAAACATATAAGATCAACATTAATGGGGACAGGTGTCAGATAAAGAACTATAGAAATAGTTAACCAGAATGGCAAAAAAAAAAAACAGAATCTGAACCAACATAGAAAGGAACAAAAGTACAGAGCAAAAAAACAAAAACAAAATGAAGGTAAACATACCAGACCAAACCATAAACAAAACTTCTTCTTTTATCTCTGTTCAGTACGCAAGTTAAACTGGGTTAACTTTTTTAGCCAAACAATTATTGCAGCACATTAGTTATGCTAAATATAAGATGCTGGTTGTTGGCAAGCTAAAAAAGCAGAACACGGGACTAACTCCTTATAACATGACCGTCTACAGTCATTTCCTGTAGGTTTAAAAGGTTTTTCTACTTTGACAACCCTGATTTACATTATTTCAATTCAGCAACAGCCTGTGGATATCCACCGCCATTACAATAGTTTTATTAGTAGGCTAGGCGCTGCAAAGGGTCAAAGAACAGCAGCTGATTTAATTTAGGCTTTTTTTGAGCATGATTGGGGATTTTGGTGTAGCCAGTTAAGAGTTTAAGCAAGCATTAGCCGTTCACCTCCTTAGTAGCATGGTCGGAGCTAGAAGGGGGGTCAGGGGTGGCCATGGCCCACCCCTAAAGCCAGCCCAACCAGGTTATTTATTGTTCCTGTTGGAGCATACTTTCCAGAACAAGCAGTTCACCTCTAAAGGGTGGCAGTAGTGATACTCTCACGTAGAAAGTTCTAGCTAACTTGATTTTTCAGTTGTTAGCATTAACAATAAAATGACATTCTAAACCCATGGTTTTCAAAGTGGGGGCCGCGGGAAGATGGAGAAAAAAAAGTTATACGTGAAATTATTTTATTGAATAAAAATAATTAAAATATTCCTGTCTGGGTATAACTGCATTATAAAAACCATTCACCTAAAGCTTACAAATAATATTTTCTGGCTCTGAAATGTCTCCTTCCATTTGCAACCACTTACTTGTGTGAGTCTGGCTTTTACACTTTAAAATTACTGAACATTAAACACAGATCATGTTTGAATGCGAGGAATGACATGCGTATTGCTCTGACAGACATTAAACCCAGACTGGACAAACTGTAGAAGCCATCAGGCCCACTGCTCCCATTAGCATGGTATGTCTATGTATCTCATGTAGCCTACATTTGTTGTTAGGCTTGCATTATATAAAATGCCTGCATGTTTAATTTGTGACAAACCTTTATTTTGTCCACAAATCTTTCTGTTTTTGCAAGGTATAAAGAGGTTCGTCATTTAAAAAAAGGTTATTAAAATTAAAATGGTGGGCCTATGTTATTGTTACATTTTATTCATTAAATTAATGTATTAAAGTTTAATAAAATAGAATTGTGACTTCATCTTTACAAAATAAATGTGTTTTTATTTAGGTGGTTTGATCACTCATTTTTTAATTCTGTCGCTGTAGCTTACACATGAGTTTTTACGTATGTTTCATATGAGGGGGGGCCTCAGCTGAAAGTGTACTGGTGTAGGGGGGCCTTGGCAAGGTAAAGTTTGGGAATCCCTGTTCTAAACCGTTCAACGTGTACATTATGCTGAAACATAACCAATTTAGAAAACATCCATGTATAAATATGTGTGTAAGTTTATTGTGTAAATCTAGTCTATCTTCATTGATTTATTTGGTAAATATGGATGTTTTGCTCATTTCTTGTTAATACAGTGTGATTATTGTATCCTGAGCCCACACTTATTTTGGGACCCATCAGTTTACGGCCACCAATAGTGCACATGGGTTCATGCAATCTGGTTTCTTTAGATGGAAATAGGGTTGTCACAATACTAAACTTTTCAACTCCATACCGATACTAAGGAAAATATTCGATACTCGATACCACAAGGATAAAATTTCAACAGAAATATTTTGATTAATAATTAAAATACAATAAATAAATAAATAAATACAATAAACAATAAGAACAACATTTTGAGGTTGTTTGCTGTGCACAGTATTTAGCAAGCTTGATAAAAAACTTACAAAATTAAAATTAAGTTTTCCTTACTTGGCTATGCTTTGCTCACATAACAATGACACTAGCCAAACCGGTTAAGAAACA